AACCAACAGGCAAATCACGAAGTACACTGCTGAGGGGAGCAGCTGGCAAGACAGGAGAGATCTGCCAGGTCATGTGGGTCACCTCCGGGGCTGGGGAGCACCAACTTGCACTGAAGCGGCCATGGCTTGTTTCTCAGTGCAGCATTCCAACCCACTCCACCACCAGGGAGGGCCCCTATAGTTGTTTTTAACCAACCTTTAAACCAGTAAATACAGTGATAAATTTGATGTTCTTTTCTCTGTCTTTAGTAAATTATAATTGTCAATTTTGGAAATGCTTACATTCAGAACATTTCACTATCTTTGGTAGTAGTTAAAGAAAAACTGTGGTAGGGAAATCTTTCTCCTGATTGTTTCCTTTGGTTCTGATTCCAACTTAGGAGTACTATTTAGGTCCACATAGCTTTCTAAGTGAGCTATTTCATGCCATGTAATGACCTCCCTGGCCATCTTACATGTTACACCTCTACCTTTGTATCACATTTGGATTTATCTGTTTCCCCTAACTAAGGACCCTTCCTGTCTTTGTTTATCTCTTCCCAAGGCATAGCAAATCTAGTACAGTCAGTACCATGGGGTATGGAGAGCCTTGAAATAGCTGCTAGTAATTGGAAACAATTCAATTATTCATCAATAGGTGATTGTTTAAATAAACTATGGTACAGCCACGTAATGGAATACTATGAGACTATTACAAAAACAGTTTGTGACATTAAGGAGTTCAGGTCATACTGTGAAATTATAAACCAAACAGAAGTATAACAAAACCAAGTTTGCATGTGTGTTGCTGCATGACCAAACATGCTAACACCTAGAGGCCTAAAACAATAAAGTTCTTTTCGGCTTCCTTTCTTCCCCTCTTTTCCTTTCCCCCTCCATCCTTCCAAGTTTGACAGTTTTTCCCACTCAGGGTTGTGCCCATTCATTCACATATAGATCTACATTTAGCTAGCTGTAGATCAGAATCACTGGATTAGGCTCTAAACAAAAGTAAAGGTTATTTTGGGCTCTCTGTGGTGCAGTAGGTTGGAGTGCTACACTGTGAAACTAAGCCAAGCTGTGGCCGCTTCTTCAAGTTCGAAGCCTGCCCCGGGGTGATCCACATGGCGTGGCAGACCTCTCCTGTCTTGCCAGCTGCTCCCCTCAGCAGTGTACTTTGTCGATCTGCCTGTTCTGTTCCCCACTCTGTTTCTGGTGAATCCTCTCACCATCCCTGGACCTATGGCTGTACCCCATTTCTGTGTGCATAAATAAATCTTAAAAAAAAAAAAAAAAGTAAAGATTCTTTTTATTTCCCACCATTGTTCATACAGTGGTGTTTTGTCCTAGCAAGTGTTTATAGACTGAACTCATACTTGAGAGAAAGTAAGTAAGTGCTTCTCCTTGAACTTAAGTTCTCTGTAGTTGAAAAAAGCTTAAGATTTGGTTGTTTCTTTGAAAGGATCAGTTTTACAAAGATTCAGAAATGAAGTTATCCTAACATGATATAAAGGCATGTTACAGACACTAAACAGAATGTTAGGTGACTACTTTGAAACATATCCCTTATCCATTGTCAGAGCAACTGCTTCAGCTTACCAAGTTGTAAACGGTTTGGATAGATCTCTCCATTTCATGAAGTACATTTGCCACCCAGCCTCCAATAAGATTACACTGAACTTGTTGCTTTTGCAGCTTGTTAACTCTTACATCATTCCATGCAATATTTCTGAATTTAGGTGAATTATTCATAATAGGTTCCTCCCTGGTGGTGCAAGAGACTAGAGTGCAGAACTGTGAGGCTATCTGCAGGCACTGCAGCATGAGTTTGATCCCTGGGAACTGACTCACATGGAACAGCAGACCTCTCCTGTCTCTCTTGTTCCTCTCAGTAGAGTATTTCAGTTGTTCTGCCTGCTCTGCCGCCCACTCTGTCTCTGGTGGAATCTCTCAACCCCCACCTCTGACCTGTACCCCCAGTTCTTGTGTGCATGAAAAAGTAAATATTTTTTTAAAAAATTTATTTACTGTAGACCCATTTTTATGGGAAACCATTGCTAATATTAGCTTGGATTTGGTCGCATGGCTTAAATGGTAAATCTTGAACTTAACACTAGATCTTTTTTATTGTTCTTTGATCTTTATTATTGTTTATCAAGCATCTTCTTTACACCTAGTACTAGTCTAGGCATTATCTTTTATCCTTACATCTTTCCTGCTAAGTAGATTTTATTATATCTTCTTATCTCTCATTTTACATGTGCTGAAAATACAAGCTAGTAAAGTACGGTGATTTAATAAAATTCATGTTACAGAAAGAAGACTCACATCAAGTGTCTCAGTCTTCATACCTATACTTTCTCTACTGGAAAATGTTACTGCTTGAGACATGTTGTGAGTAATGAACAAGAGTAGATTTAATCTGTAAATGGGCTCTGATGACTGGGTTTTGCCCATTATCTCAGCTTTCAGTTGGTACGTAGTTCAGTGTTCTGTACTTGGGCTGTTCTGAATTCTTTTATTCTGCCAAATCCTGAATGTTAAAACACATTTCACTGCTAAGCCCTCCTCAGGCCTTTGGCGCCCTTGCTGTAAAGGCAGGTGGTTTGAAGAAAGGCTCCCTCTAGGTTGTTGCACACTACACACAACACATAACTGTGCGAGACAACTGTCAGTTCCTTCCTTCCCATCTCCCCCCATCCTCCAGAAAGCTGGGCCCCAGATGGAAGAACTGGAAACATGTCAACTGTTCACTGAAGGGCACCGAGAAAATACTGTCAGGAAGGAAAAGGCAAAATGCACCAGCTCATTAGTCCACTAATCAGACAGGACAACCATCCATTTCACAAAGAAAATGTCCTAGACAGAGAGATGAGAAGGTCTGGCAGAATGTTAGCCTTGTGACTTTCAGTGACTGCACATTTTTATCAAGGGATTTGTAACTTACGGGCATTGCTTCCTTGACTGACTCTGTATTCATTATATCTGTTCCCAAAATGTCACTGTAAGCTGAAATATAAAATTAATATTTGGGTTATTTTTCTTATTAGGAGGTGCCCCTTTAATTTACAAAGATGAGCCTAGTTGCCAATACCATGGGTGCCCATGGTATGGTGTTTATAGGTAATCTTGCTGAAAGAAACTTTGATTGGAACCTTTGGTATCAATTTCTTGGGCTTAAATTTAACTCAGTGGTTATTGGAGATATGGTACTTAAGTGAAAAACTTTTCACTAATAAGAAGATCATAGCTCAACTTAATGGTGATTATGTTAGTCCTGATTCTATTACCAAGTGTATAGCAAGTATCTATGGGAAAAATAACTTCTTATATATTATTTCTCAAAATCAAGTTTTGTTCAAGTAAGCTCAGATTTAATTTCAATGTCATGAAGTTTTTATCTATCTGATTTCTCTTCTAGAATTCATTGCTGTCTAGACTTATAAAATAGCTGCTTATTAAGCATTGTCTCTGCAGGTAAAGTAGTCTATGCTTAGTTTAGAGTTAATCTCTCTACTTCTCATCTTTTTTTTTTTTTAAAGATTTTATTTATTTATACAGAACTGGGGTACAGGTCAGAGGTGCAGGGGCGGTGAGAGACTTCACCAGAGACAGAGTGGGGAGCAGAATAGGCAGATCAACGAAGCACACTGATGAGGGGAGCAGCGGGCGAGTCAGGAGAGGTCTGCCACACCATTTGGTCACCTCTGGGGCTGGGGATCAAACCCTCACCGAAGCACCTGCTGCCAGCTTGCAGTACTGCGTCCTAACCCATTGTGCCACCAGGGATGGCCTACATCTTTTTAAACACTATGCATCATAAATAACATGTACCTGATATCAGCAATATTGACTCCACTTTTTTTTTCCCACTTGGACTAATTGAACATTAAAAAAAATATATGGTACTTTATCATTCCTAGTCATTCATGTACAGCTGGTTATGATTCTATTTCCGTGCCTTGCAGTTCATGCCTACTAAGCTAGATAGGCCCACATTAGCTCTTCCCACTCTTTTTCTTTTTTCTTTTTTTTTTAAGATTTATTTATTTATTCATACAGAACTGGGGTACAGGCCAGAGATGTGGAGGGTGAAAGGATTCACGAGGGACAGAGTGGGGAAGCAGAACAGGCAGATCAAGGAAGTACACTGCTGAGGAGAGCAGCGGGCTGGTCAGGAGAGGTCTGCCACGCCATGTGGACCTCCCCTCCTCCGGGGCAGGCGGGGATCGAACTCATGAGGAAGTGGCTTAATCTTCTTAGTGCAGTGCCCTAACCCGCTACGCCACCAGAGAGGGCCCTCTTCCCACTCTTAATGTGATCCAGTTATTAGGAGAAGTTAAGAATTTAATGCAGTGGAGATAAACTGAATTTATTACCTGTTTTTTTCCTATCTCAGCCCTTATCCTTATTGTTAACTTTCAGTTCATGTCATCCCTTAACTTGTTTTAGTTTTCCGGTATTGTCATAAAAAAAACTAAGCTGTTTGTCAGCAAAATGAGTGAGTGAATGAAAGAATGAGTCACAGGCTTGATTCCTTCTTAGAACCTCAGAGAAAGAAACTATTTGATACCCTTCTCCTAGCTCCTGTTTTTCTGTTGGTTGCTGATGATCAATTCTTGATATTCCTTTTCTACGTGGCCTCGCTTCAACCCTGCCTCCACCTTTACCTGATGTTGTTTGGTCTTTATATAAAGGTCTTCCCTCTGTATATGTGTCATGGGTCTCTCCTCTTATAAGAGCACTATTCATATTAGATTTAAAGCCAACCAGATAAAAATGATGATCTCCTCCTCTCAAGATTCTTTATTTAATTACACCTTCAGACCCTTTTTCCAAGAAAACACATCTTAAAGGTTTAAGAAATAGGCATTTGTTGTGGGGACCACCACACCACCATTATACTAAGCACCTTCTTGACTTCTTAATTCTCTAGTAAAATGCGTTGGCATTTCAAATTATTGGTACTGTTTTATTGTGTTATAGAAATCTCTGATTTCCATTCCTTTTATTCTTTACAGTTGGTCCTGAGAAAAGGGTGCCAGCAATGCCTGGATCGCCTGTGGAAGTGAAGATACAGTCCAGATCCTCACCTCCCACCATGCCACCCCTTCCACCAATAAATCCTGGAGGACCAAGACCAGTGTCATTTACTCCTACAGCATGTAAGACCTCTTAATTACTTGGATTTGTGGTTCAAATTGGTATTTGGATCTAAGTGACTGATTGCCATTAAGCCTTCTATATACAGTAGTTAGTATATTCCAGATCATGTATATCTGGATAATTTTTACTTTTACAAATTGCTAAGAATAGTACTTAGCTATCAGTAGGGGTTAAAGTGCAGCACTACGAAGCTCTTCACAGTCACTGCAGCATGAGTTAGATCCCCGGCCAGGGAAGTGACCCACATGGCTCTGCAGACCTCTCCTGTCTTGCTCACTGCTCCCCTCAGCAGCGTCTGTTCTGCTCCCCACTCTGTGTCTGGTGAATCCTCTCACCCCCCACACTTCTAGTCTGTATACCCCAGTTCTTGTATGCTTAAATAAATAAATCTTTGAAAAAGTGGATAGTATTTAGCTAAAGTAAGTACTTGGAAATTTAGTGGTCTAAATGACTTGTTTGGCTGGTAGGTAGCTATTTTAACTTCTTTGGTTCCAAAACAATAATTTATTACATTTACTTATAGAATTCACAATAATTTTCATAAAATTACTGAACTACCTTTAGAAAAGTACTAGAACTCCCTTGGTTAGACTGTTTACAAGAAAGAGAGATGATTGATTATTGTATTAGACTGTTAACATAATAACAGAGTGCCACAAACTAAGTGGGCTAAATAGCAGAAATTTATTTTACATATCCTGGAGCTGAAAGTCCAAAATCAAGGTGTTGGCACATTGAGGCCTCTCTCCTTGCCTTGCGGATAACCACCACTTTCTGTATCTTACAGACCTTTTCTTTGTCCATTGAACATTTGTACACTGAGTATGAGGAAATGTCAGTATCTATTAAAGCTAAATTTCCACAACATTGTAACTGAGCAGTTTCAATCCTATGTATATACTTTAAAAAAGAAAAAAACTCAATGTAAAATCTAAACTTTCAAACATACATAAGTGCATATGTTTACATTTCAGCTTGACTTCTTTTGCCTTTCCATTCATGCAATCCCCAGTTTATATTGCCTCTCTTGCAGATATTTCGCCTCATAAAGCAGAAGATACTTGTTCTTTGTGAGGCCCACAAAGTGTCAGAGCATTACTGGGTACTATATGCATTTTCTTATTTAAACCTTGTTACACAAACTTACTATTTTTTGCTCAAACCTTTGTGTTTTGTGTATTTATCAACTTGCAAGAGAAACTAAGAGGTATAACTTCAATAGAAGCTTTATTATTCTCCCAAAACATAAAATTGAGTAACTAGGGCCTCCCTGATGGCACAGGGGTTAAAGTCTCAGTGCTATCAAGCTATTGCCAGCCACTGTGGCTTGGGTTCGATCCCCAGTGAGGGAGCTGACGCACGCATGACGCAGCAGACCTCTCCTGTCTCACATACTGCTCCTCTCAGCAGTGTGTTTCAGTTGATATTCCTGTTCTGCTCCCCACTTTGTCTCCCCCACTCCGTCTCTGGTGAGTCTTTGGGTTCCTTTCTTACTCAAAGATAAAGTAAACTAATACTGCCTTTTCCCAATGATAAGGTAAAACAATGTTACACATAAAAAATATTAGAGTTCTGATTGATCTCAGCTGATCTCACTTCATAGCTTGTTGCTGTAATATGACTAGGATTAAAAAAATTTTTAGGAAATATTTTAGAGTAAATGGTTATCATGTATTGTCAAATGTTGAGGAAAAAATAGAGAATGATAAAAGCAGGTGGGATAAAATATTAATATGAGTAAATTGAGTAACTAGCCACTGCAGTAGCTTGAACCAGTATGAATAAAAAAAAGTTGGATATCCCAGCAGACTTTTTAAAAAGCTTTAAATATAAACCTTCAAAACTCCAATAGTTGACTTTTTATGAACACAAAGAAATGGCAGACACTTTGCAGCTACTCTGTATTTCTGAGGTTGTTGTCCAGTAGCTTTAGTAATTTTTTTTTTAAGGTTTATTTATTTATGCTTACAGAACTGGAGTACAGGCCAGAGGTGTGGTGGGTGAGAGGATTCACCAGAGACAGAGTGGGGAGCAGAACAGGCATATTGACAAAGTAC